AGGGGGGGGGGTCTAATAGCCGTAAATATTACTTTGTGAGATTGATTTCTCTTCTTGGTGTTTGAGGATGGTGAGATAATGTCCCTTTTTTGGTCTGGTCTCACTCGTGGGTTTTTTCTTGAACTTTATTTTTTTGATGAACAAAAGACAAAAATAATGCCTTTATCACTTCAGGTCCACCCAAAAAATGGTGCGGTAGAACATTCGCTGAGAAACTAGAATTCTATAAAGATGTGCACTTGGAGTATTACCCAGGAACCAAAGACCAAGGGTCTGGGTTTGAGATGGTCTTTCAAGGTACGTTTTCCCTATACTATCTATTTTAGGGCTGGTGGGGCACCTAGAAATCTGGTTTTGGGGCCAAATTATGCAAATTGGTGTTATTACATATAGTAGTACCTGGACATTTCCTGAACAATATCCAGAAACGTATGTAAGGCTTGTTACACCCTAAAGCTGTCTTTTTTGTCCAAGTGTTTCTGCAAAAGCACGTTATTTCCAGCCAGTCGGTTCTTACCTTTATCGGCTGTTTTCTCACAATTCTATTTTTTTCACACATTATCCCATTTTTCTGCACTGTTTCTTGTTCAATTTCAATGTTGCTTTCACAGGATGCCAATAACACCTAGTTCTAAATTTTGGCGTGTTGAATATTTTATTAATGGAGTAGTTTTTGATTTATGGGCTTACAAAGCATGAATTTTCCTTCTTTTTTTCCAGTTGTAAGTGTCATAGAAAAAAAACTAAAGCATATATAACAAGCCAAATTTAAAAGCTATATAATTACTGTTGACATGCCAAATAAAAAGTGAATCAGTTAATAAATAAGGGAATAAAATGGGATTGAAAAAGCTATACAAAATCCAATATGGCCGCCGTTTCCATAGCAACCGATTCAAAATATACTTTTTGAACTATAGATTTCAAATCCCCAATAGCGCACAATGTCCCACAGAAAATACGGGCACTCTAGGCATTGTAATAGCTAAAATAGACCTCAGGTGTTCCACCAGCCCTTAATAGTTTGTCTCTATTGCATTTATGTATTATGGTCGTATCTTTTGTGTGTTTTGTCATTGTTTTAATTAATTTTTATTAAACTCCAAGCTAGACACATTTCAGGTCTCTTTGAAACCATAGTAGTCAAACCTGCTGTAATGGCCACATCTCCAAAACAAATACGAGTACAAACTACTTTCAGCTTCCCTCTGGCGTTAAAAATATAAATAAATATGTATAATGACACTAACCAAGACGTCCTTTATTTGAGCATTTTAGTTGTTGTTTGTTTTTTTACGCAACCACATGTGCCACCAGGGCTCTTTGGTTCTAAAAAAAACTATCCACAGACATCTCTCATTGGTTTGCGACTGTTTTGCTGGAAGCTCATCCGGGGTCGCGCTGGATTGGATATAATGATCCCGAGCTGATTCTCAAGTACTTCACATGCACTTAGCTATTCATATTCAATACATTATTGCTACCTTAGAATTGTAAAGTTCTATCCGACCGTGTTGATCGTTTTGAGTTATTAAGACCATGGGGTCAGTAACCAAATAAATAATAAATGTTCTATCGGCTCTACCAAAATCATATAAGATTATTGGGAGTTGTTATCAAGACCTTCAAAGAAATGCCTTCCAAAAAGCTTTACGTGAGAACTCAATTTTTTTTCACATCAAATATCTCGAAAGAAACGGAGCATATAGAACTTGCTAATTCTAGAGTAGCAGTATGGCGCACGCATGACGCACACATAAAACTGATGGTTCACTCTGTACAGTTTCACAAACACAACAGTTGACCACAGTTCCTCTCCACCCTAGATCTTGTACTCCAAATTGATCTATGTGAGAGGATGAGAAAAGTCAGCTTAGTATCATTTAATTTGGTTTATTGTATTATGCTTCTTACATCCTGCAGACTGGCAATGGTCCCCGTTCTGCAATGGAGTCCAACAGCTTGAAGTGCGGGATGAACCAATGCTACTGTATATTCTACGCACTGGTATTGGATACCATGGACAGCCAGAGTAAGTCTTGGTTTCTGTCAGGAGCAAGAAGTGTAATATACCAGCACCAGCTGTTTACTCTTGGTGCCGACTCTTTGACATAATGTATTTCTCTCCACAGCTGTGCAATTTTGCACAACGGGTAAATTTCCCAAATTAGCCTCTTGACCGTGTCTTGCATGTGAAACTATAATATAGTTTGTTCAAGAACGTCTGGAAACCTCCATATTATGTAGCATTTTGGGGAAATCAGGTGCTTTTCAATAAAATACTGCTATCGAAAAAAAAAAAGCAATTTTTATCTATTTTTTCTTTGGCTAAACACCTTTTACGTCTATTCAACAACACATTTCCGTGCGGATTTTATTGATAGGAATTGTTTAAAGGCACAACAAAATGTACATTTTTGTAGCAGACAGAAACGCAAACGTACCTGATTGCTCTTATAAGGAAAAATGGTTATAATGATTGTAATCGTTGATACGGAACATGAGGTTGTTGTTTTTTCTTTTTTTAGGTCTACGAGAAAAGGTGTGATATTGGTCTTCCAGGTCGCATACTTTAGGTGTACAAGCATTGAGCGCCGCTGTTTATGGTAGCATTGCAACAAATAAATAAATAAATAATAAATAGACAAAAAAAATAATATGTCAGCATCTTTTTCCACTATTGCTTGTTGACCGCGCCAGATGAAATATTTGGCGTCCGACTCTGTGACACGGTTTCAATTCGGATAGAGCATAACCCAAAACTGTCGGTCTTTGGTGCAACTTCAATTACTTCTATGCCGCGAGCCGCGCAGGAGAGTTGAAACAAGAGGCAAGCTTTTGTGCGGTGTTTAACTAGCGGGAAGTATCGAGTGGTTTACGGTGTGCAACTTTTTCTTTGTGACTTCCGCACAACTTTACACTTACGGCCTTTTCAATTGACACATGTTTGAGCAATGATAGTACTTAACAAGATGGGCCACTTCTCTCTTTGAGCCAATTAAAAAAGTGTCCTCAAAATTTGGAGGCGCCCTCTTCACAAAAGCGCACTCTTTGCGAACAGAGTTACCCTACTTGAGTTTTTAAAAATCAAAGTGAAACTAGCATGTTTTTGGATAAATTTCGGAAGAACGCTTTTTTTTAATGGTTACGTTGACAAAAAACCTCTTCCGGAGGAAAGGGTGATGGTTTTCTTCGTTTAATTTGACTTTAGAATGAAAGGCAAGAGGTCATTAACATTTTTAAAACCCTAAAACTACGCACTGAACGTACCCGAACTGCTGATGAACAGCAGTCGATCTGCGCACGCAAGGAGGTGCTATTCCTATTCTTCTTCTGGAAAAACGAAAGAGAGCTTCAAAACAGACTGCAGCGCCATCTGAAGCAAAGAGCATACTTCCTGCGGACACTTTTTTGGCTGAGTGGCCCATCTTGTTATGTACTATCTTTGGTTTGAGTAGCCTGGAGAGTCGTAATGTCGTCTTGGTCAATTAGTATTTTGTTGTTGTTGCTCTTTCTTTGTTTCTGATCTGTTTGTTTGGATTTGTTTGTTTGTTTGTTTGTTTGTTTGCTTAGTTGGCTTTTTTCGGGGAGGGGGGGATTGGGGGTTGGGGGTGGGGGCTTTTTAGTTGTTTTTATTTGTTTGTTTGCTTTATGGAATTTTTTACATAAACATGGTAAACAAATATGCTCTATTGACGTAAAGGTATTACTGGTTAGGCATATACTTATTGAGCAAATAAAGCTTACCTCGCTATTTTTCTCTTCATCAGCTATGGTTGTGCATGGAATTTGACTGCTCCTGAAGACAAAATCGTCCTTCTTCGTGCTTTTAGTGAAGCGAGAATTCCCTGCCAGGGGCCTTGGTTTGAGTTTGGTGGTAGGAATAGACATACAGAGCAATGACATACTATGTATTCACTTCATTTCAGCATCTATCTTTCCCTTCCACTCCTCCTTAACCCGTCCTGTCTCGTTCTGGCTCTCTATGTCTCTCTCTCTCTCTCTCTCTCTCTCTCTCTCTCTCTCTCTCTCTCTCTCTCTCTCTCTCTCTCTCTGTTCTGTCTCTGTCTATCTCTGTCTCTCTCTGTCTCTCTGTCTCTCTGTCTCTCTCTGTCTCTCTCTGTCTCTCTATCTCTCTCTCTGTGTCTTACACACACACACACACACACACACACACACACACACACACACACACACACACACACACAAACACACATGCACACATACACGCACACATACATACACACTCCCTATTTTTTCTCACTGTCTTTCATTTTCTTTTTTTCTTTCTTTTTTTCTTATTCATTTATGTCTGCCCTTTATCTTCTCTCTCTCTCTCTCTCTCTCTCTCTCTCTCTCTCTCTCTCTCTCTCTCTCTCTCTCTCTCGCACACACACACACACACACACACACACACACAAACACACATACACATAGACACACACACACACACACACACACACACACTCACACATACACACACGTACACACGCATATGCAAATCACGAGCAATCACACTAAATATCTCTCTCTCTCTCTCCCTCTCTCTCTCTCTCTCTCTCTCTCTCCCTCCCTCTCCCTCTCTCTCTTTCTCCCTCTCCCTCTCTCTCTTTCTCTCTCTCTCTCTCTCTCTCTCTCTCTCTCTCTCTCTCTCTCTCTCTCTCTCTCTCTCTCTCCCTCTCTCGCTCGCTCGCTCGCTCTCTCTCTCTCTCTCCCATTGACTTCTGCAGCTGACTAAGATATATATTATCTTGATGCGAGGTGCTTGTTCTTTTTGTTTTCATCAACGTTTTGTCTTAGTCTCTTTCTTAGGAAGTGGGGCCTTTATCTGGAAAAAAACATACCTCAAAGCACTACTCTCATGTTCTTGCCAGAAGTACACGTATTATACTCAACTTCATTTTAAAAAAGCCTCACTAACAGAAATGCGCTTGGAATGATAAGTGGAGCGCGGATTAATACAAACATTTTCACAAATGTGTGAGGATATGTCACCAACAGATATTGAACAAAAGAGATGGTCTAATCCCCGTTTTGTGTTTTTGTGGTGAAATGTAAAACATTCCACGATCAATAAAAAGTACAGTAACGTGGTTGGCTACATTGTCTTGCAACGTGGGCGAGTTTTCGACACCGCATAGTCAGATTGTCTTGGAATGGTTCTCTGTGCCGTTCGGTTTCATTCTGCTATCATTTCATTACGAAATTGCAGCACATTGAATGCCCAATTATTGGTGTACACTCCTCCATCCATCGTTATGACTTACGCAAAATTTAGACTGGGTGTTCTCGTGGCCTAGAGATTAAGGTGTTCACCTCTCATTCAAAGGTCCCTAGTTCGAATCCGGGTGGCGACGGAAAAACTTTCTTCTCTAAAATGGTCTCCTTTCACCTCCTCTCCTGCTCTCTAGCAGTTGTTTGCTTTCGTTTTCACTTTCTGCCCCCACCACCTCACCTCCTTTGCCTTTCTACTGCTACTCCTTGGCTCCTTCTTACTGCTGTCTTTCATCTACACCCCTGATCTTCTGGTAGGAAAGATTTACACCTAGCCCTCTCGGACAAGCCTGAAAAATCTCGGAGGTCCCGTGTGCAAGCTGCACACGTTAAAGATCTCTTGGTAGTCTAGAATCGATAAGAGTAGGCATTGGCCCCCTCCGAGACAAAATTCAAAATTTCCTACCAACTGAAAATGTTTAATGTGTCCCGTGCGCTCATATGACCTTGTGCAGTTGTGAGTGCCGTAAAACAGGTACCAAAATAAAAAGAAAGGGGAAAAAATGAGACTGGTCAGGAAATATAACTCTGTTCCAGTCTCTTAGCTTCCAATTTGAGTGTTGGTTGTACCAGTCTACACCAGCTGGTCTTCGTAGGGTTTATGGATTCTTAAACAGGCTTCTGCCATTCGGCGCCGAATGGAGACTGAACATGCTGTTCATCTAGTTCCCTGAAGGTCTCTGGCTGTTACAGGGGGAGTAAACGATCTCTCGGCTGGCAATAAGGAATAGGCCGATTTTGTTGTGCAGTCGTACCCCTTGGCTGTTACGCCCTTGGTTTTTTCAGCGACACTCCCAGTTGTTGGCAGACAGTCTTGCAGCCTTTTAGTTATCCATTTGTCAGCATTCAACCGTGCTTCAACTTGCCTTTGGTTTACAATGGCAATGAGAATCCTAATGTCTCCTTTGCACTTTCAGTGCTCAAAGTTAGCATACAGTTAGGAGTAAAAAACAAAAGAAGACCAATTTATGAGACTGCACGTGTTTTCTTTTTCAATGCAGTTACATATTGATGTGTAGAGCAATCCGTTTCATTCATTGTGATAAGATAGCACTCAATATAGAAATTAATGTTTTACCCGTTTTGTGCATGCCACAAAATGAGAGATGATCACCCCATCAAAAGAATATTTATCTAATGGCCTGACGAACCGGTGGACAATAGATCACATTGTGTACTTTTCATCAAACACATATTTGGATTTGAAAAGTGGGGCATTTTTAATGGAGTTTAGTATATTTACTTCATTGTCTGCAATCTCTGCTTTCCAAATATCCATGAATACATCTGAATCATAATTAATGACTCTGGTAATTCATATCATCAGTATGATTGACCATTGGTCATTCTGTCAATGCATCATTGTACAGGCCGCGCCTTCCTCTCACTCTCTCGCCCTCTCTCCTACAATTGACCTATTTATTCGATTTTTCCAGGTGACACACGTTACATTTTGCACTGTTTCCATTGATCCTCATAAATCCTGTACTGTCGTGATATTATCCATATTTCCTTGTGCTTTTCAAATATTGTATACAGTATTCTGGATGCGTCGATTGTAAAAGTTTTCCATTGCAATTTGATGGACACTGTTTTCCTTGAACGCAAATTAAATGAAATCTTGTTTCACATACTGTGAATCCCAATTCAGTTCACTTCAATTTTCAGTTTTTTAAAATATGAACTGTTTTGTTCCCAGATGGATGCCAGACTGTTGACTTTCCAAAGATTAAAACCCAGCAGACTTCAACAATTGTTTCATCGGATGACTTTTCCTATTACAATAGTAACTATTTTTTGGCGGAATATGTGGCGGCGTCAAGAGGTGAGAGCCGCACCTAACTGTTTATTCTTTTGAAAAATAAATAAATGTAAGGCATCGTGGTGAAATCGTGCGCTCGTCCAAATATGAACGAAGATAATAGCATTATCATTTTTCTTGCCGTTCTGTCAATTTTTACTGAATTTTCAGTTTTTGGCTCAACACCTGTTATGTCAATTTTAAAAGACGTTGCTGTGTGGCTTCTCCTGAAAAACGTTCAATAAAAGCACAAGAAAATGTACATTTACAGTTTCCAAGGACTCCCAAGCTTTGAAAAATCACCAAACGTGGGCTGCCATTTCCTCTCTAATTTACCTCTGAATATCTATCGACTTTTATTGAAGATAGATAGATATCTTTTTCATCAAAGGCAAGAAAAATGAACAAGCTTCAAGATAATACCAAAAACTTCATATGCCCCAAAACTGACGAGCGCCTGATTCCACCGCGTCGTGACACAAGTAGCTAGCTCAACTTGACACTGAGATAGTCATTTCTGGAGCGGGCTGCCTGATTCCCTTAGCGGAAACTGACTCTGACACCAGAGGTAAAGGGAAGGAAAATAAGACATTCGAAGTCTAACTTTCGCTGAATATCGACACTGTAGCCAGATAAATACAAATTACGTTGATGAAAGAAACGGTCACGAGAGCAACATTACTGTCTTGAACTAATTTTTTGTACCAAATGGCGCTCATCTTACTTGTTGTTCGCCGAAAACTTTTGCAAGTGTATTTATGTCAGTATTATTAATGACTGCTTTGCTTAGATTTGTATTATGCTAGATATTTTATTGAATGGCTCCAATTAAGTCTCTTGAGTTTGATTCCATTAACAGCTCTGTTATTCCATTTACATGGTCCTGGCCATAGATTTGAGTTATAATATCCTTGACCATGCACTATGGCTTATTTCCGGTTGTCTATGAACCGCACTGTTTGAGCCAAATCTTTTTCATTCTTTGCATTCCCTTACTAGAACTCAGAGGTGTCGACTGTTGGTTCTTCAACCGGCAGTGAAACTTAATTTTTACGTATGTCTCCACTTTCCAACTCTGTTGGGCCCCTTGTCTTCAGGCAGCCAAATTCCGATTTTGAATAATATACTTTACATGTTTTCATTTTTAAAATACTGACAAGAGTCGGTTAGGCTCTCGGACTCGCAACCGTAAGGTCGTGGGTTCGAATCCCGTCAGGGGCCGACGTTGTGTCCTTGGGAAAGGTACTTTACACGAATTTTCCTCACTTCATCCAGGTGGGAATGTGTACCCGGATATAGACAGCGAAAGATCTTGTCAGTTTGTTAGTGTTTGAGCGCTTAATCGGCTGCCGCACTGTATGCTTCCCGGGAAGCTGAGAATGTTTCGGAGTGTTCTATGGTCTGCTGGGGTAATAATATAGTGTAAAGCGCATAGAGCCTGCTGTTGAGCGGGGATATGCGCTATACAAATGCTATCTATTATTATTATTATTCTCAGTTTTAGTAGGAATTTTGTACTTTGTCCGGATGGCGGCCGAATACAACTCTTATCGATTTTAGGACCTCCAAGAGATCTTGAAAGTGTGCAATTTGCACGTGCGACCTCCGGGATTTTTCGTCCTAATCCGAGAAGGCAAGGAGTTAGATCTTTCCTACCCTAAGATCAGGGGTGTAGCTGAAAGACAGGAGTAAGGTGTTGGGAGTAGCAGTTGAAAGAGTCAGGAGTTAAGGGAAGGAACCCTTAAAGGGGGGGGGGGGGGTTGGGGTGGAAATGAAAGTGGAATGCCAGAACAAGACTAGAAAACATGATAGGAGGTATGGGGGAGACAATATTTTTAGAGAAGAAAGATTTCCCGTTCCTGTCAGGTTTCGTACCGATTGGTTGAAAGACGTGCAATGCAGCTCAAAAACCACGATAGCCCCATTTGAGCCAAATGAAGGTCTGAAAGGTGGGGGGAGGGTATGAGTTCAGTGCTCACAGATAATAGATGTGTATTTTTTCCTTCATACGGCGTAATGACACCTCCCACGGTGCACTCATTTTACAGCATTTTTTTTTTTATAGATAAGAAAGAGCGGCGGCCATAACAGGGTGCAGTCAAGGAATATAAGTCTATGGGCTTGACTCTTTGTCAAAGCTTTTTAAAAAAAAACATAATCGGTAATGAACATTTGTGTGTGCTTGCGTGTACATATGTGTGTTTGTGTGTATATGTGTATGTACGTGTGTTTATGGGTGTGGGTGTGTGTATGTGTTCGTGTATGTGTGAGTGTTTGTGTGTGTGTGTGTGTGCGCGTGTGTGTGTGTGTGTTCGTGTGTGTCTATGTTTGTATGAATGTGTATTTGTGCGTATGTGTGGGTGTGTACGTGTGTTTGTGTATGTGTATGCGCATGTGTGAATGTATATGTGTGTAGTGCGTGTGTGTGTTTGTGTGTGTGTTTGTGTGTGTGTGTGTATGTTTGTGCGTGTGTGTATGTTTGTGTGTGTGGGTGTGAGTGTGTGTGTGTCTGTGTGTGTGTGTGTGTGTGTGTGTGTGTGTGTGGGTGGGTGTGAGTGTGTGAGTGTGTGTGTGTGTGTGTGTGTGTGTGTGTGTGTGTGTGTGTGTGTGTGTGTGTGTGTGTGTGTGCGACTGTGTGTAAAGACAATACTTTGTATACTATAGATGCCATCCAGTGCGTTGACTCGACGCCGGTGCATGTTCCATTGACCACGGAGGAGTTGTTTATACAGCTAGACAGCAACACGACAAGGTAGGTGTCTCTGTACACGCCTATAATAGAAAAACAAAGGGGGAGACAGCTTACTGTCTGTCTAGTAAAGTAAAGGGGTTATAAATAATACTTTCTATAAACACTTTGCTGGCTACTAGTATTTAGTATGATTACTGGCTTTTTTGAGGAAAGTTACCTTGTTTTTTCTCAGTGCCTCCAAATGCGAATAGGTACTTGGCAATCTGGAGGGACTAGAAAAAAGTGGAGGACAGCGATATTAGTCAAAGTCTGGTTTCCCACAAAAGACAATGAGTTCTGTTTCCGTGGTGACTTATTTCGATTGAAATATATGCCATCAAATGACATTAGTAAAAGTGGGACAGGTGTTTGTTGTTTGGTGGTTCTTGAAGGTCACAAACCTCACCGAACTGCGCCATACAGACAAAAGTACAAGATAATCAAAGCCACGGTTACTTTTTTTTAAAGAGCTCAGGAGCTCCAACTCTTAAATAATGCTAATGCTTTAAGAATTATTTTTTTAAAAATGTATTTCTTACATATTCGCGTACCCAGTCTGCGCTACTTTTTGTTTAATCTGACTAAAACGGTGACTAAATTTGGATGAATGATTTTCGAAAGGTCTTCAGTTGTTTTGTTGCATCTCAAGGTGCACCCTTCAGTTCACCACGGACTCCCCGGACAAGACTGTGGATCTCAGTTTTCTTCCTGTTGTGAATGACACGTCCGTTCTCAACGTGACGGGGTTTATTCTTGAACTTTTTGATGGTGAGTCGATGATATATAGGAAGTTTAATATCACTCTCTGTCGGTCTGTCTGTCTGTCTGTCTGTCGGTCTGTCTGTCTGTCTGTCTGTCTGTCTGTCTGTCTGTCT